GCAGCGCGCTGCTGCTGCTGCTGCTCCTGCTGCTGCGCCGCCTCGCCCAGCAGTGCCACCAGAGACTCCCTTGCTGCTGCCTCCTCAGCAGCAGCAGCAGCAGCAGCAGCAGCAGCAGGGTCATCATCAGCAGCAGCAGCAGCAGCAGGAACCAGCTGCAGTGGAGCCGTCGACTCAAGCGCCATCAGCAATGAATCCAACGCTGCAGACACCAAACCCTAAACCCCAAACCCTAAACCCTAAACCCTGAACCCTAAATCCCAAACCCTAAACCCTAAATCCTGAACCCTGAACCCCAAACCCTAATCCCTAAACCCCCCAAAACCCGAGCCTCATACCCTTCGTTTTGTACCCTAAAGAAGAGTATATCACAAACCCCGGGGTGATAACCCTAAAACCTAAACCGTAAACCCTAAACCCTAAAACCTACCGGCTTTGCGAGAGCCGCTGGCTGCGAGTCTTTCTACCAAGGACCTCCACCCTGCTGCTGCTGCTGCTGCTGCTGCTGCCTTTGTTGCTGCTGCTGGGCAGCGCCCACAGCAGCGCATCACCGCTCCTGCAGCGCCGAAATAAAACCCAAAACCTAAACCCTAAACCCTAAACCCTAAACCCTTATTCTCAGAAACCCCAGCCTTCTTCCGCAGCAGCAAGTGCTGTTTGTAAACCCTAAACCCTAAACCCTTCCTCGGCCCTTTGGCTGTCACGCGCTGCGCTCTCCCAAGTGATCGTTCCCGCGGCAGGGCTAGGGTTTAGCGTCTGGGGTTTAGGGTTTACCGAAGTTTAGGGTTTAGGGTTTAGGGTTTACCGAAAAGGTAAATGGCAGCCTCTCTAACAGTCCCCTCGGAATCCCTCATTTGTGCTGCTGCGATCTCGAGAATATCAGCAGCAGAAACAGCAGCAGCAGCAGCATCCGCAGCAGCAGGACCCGCAGCAGCCTCCCCCCACACTCCGGCGTGGACGCTGCAGCAGAAGCAGCAGCAGCAGCAGCAGCAGCTTTAGAAAGGCTAACATCAACAGAGGCGCTATCAGCAAGCCCGTAAGTATTCGACGCAGCAGCAGCAGCTGCTGCTGCTGCAGCAACGGATGCTGCTGTTGTTGCTGCTGCTGCTGCAGCAACAGCGGCTGCAG